CTTGCAGTCGGGCGCGGCCAGCGCAATTAGCCTGCCCCAGCACAGTTGGGTGCCCCCTGCTCTCCCCCAGCCCTGTGCTGGTTGTGCCCAGTGCCCAATGAATAAACCCTTTCCTGCACTGGTTTCCCTGTAGACCCTGTCACCAGGGCCACTCAACTGCCACGCAGGGCTGCCTGTCCCACCTTCTACTGCCCCATCCTTGCCTCTTATTTCCCCCTGCGCTTACTCTCCTGGTGGGGCCCTATGCACCCCAGTGTGCTGGGGGATGCCCAGCCCTACCTGGCTTTCTGCCCCCCACCATTGCCCTGCTTCAACACAGGAGGACACAGGGCAGGCAGCAGAGGATGAAGCATGGGATTTATTGAAGAAGGTCTCCATGCAGGGGAGGCCCAGTGGGAACAGCGGGGCCAGGGCCGCCCTGCAGACACGTCACAACCAAGCCAAAGGGAGTCCCATGGGGCAGGGTCCTCCCTCCAGGACCCTGAGAGAGCAACGCCAGCTCCATTCAGCCCTGCACCCAGGCAGGGAGTCTTCTCCTCAGGGTGCTGGATGTCACAGGGACCCTCCTCTTCCCCTCCATCTGACTCTGGCCTGGGAGCCCCCACACCCAGTTGGGCCCAGATACTCCTTGGGTTCCCCACAACAGGCCAGGCTGAGAATTGGGGTGCTGGTGGCAGACACATGCAGGATATGTGGGCAGAGGAGGGCTCAGTAGTGGGAGAGGAAAGGAGCTGCTCCACTGGGCACCCTCCCTGCGTTGGGGCTGGTCATGGGGCAGAGTGGGCAGGGATCTCTGCCAGGACTGGGCAGGGAGTCTGGCTCTCTGTGCTGAGCCATGCGTGAGCCCAGGACACACGACACAAGGGCAGAAGTGTACCTAGCCCTGCACCTCCCTGTCCTGGGCATGGGGCTTGGGGCTGGGGATGGCATGGGGTCAGGCGGGGAGCAGAAGCAAGTGCCCAGTGTTGTGGGGAGTGCTGCAGGATGGTGCTGCCAGATGGATCAGAGCAT